AATGTACAGTGAGTGTTTAAATTTAAAAATTTATTATCATAAAAGACACATTGCCATGTATCCCCCTCAGAATACTTCCTCATTTCAAACGTACTGACCCATCATGCATGCTGCTTCCTGAAGCAGGTCTGGAAGTGCTCTTTCCTGAGGGTCTTTACAAGGTGTGATCAAAACTGCTTTCAATGCTGCTGCTGAGTGACATCCAACAGAAAGGCAGGCTGGTAAAACATGACAGTGTGTCCTCACCCACCTTATTCACCAGATCTGACACCACGAAACTTCTGGCTCTTCTCAAAATCAAAATGAGCATGAAGCCAGGTGTGGTGGTGCACATCTGTAATTCCAGAATTCAGGAGGCTGAGACAGGAGGATTGCTGCGAGTTTCAGTCCAGCCTGGGCTATGTAGTGAGTTTAAGATCAGACTGAACTGCACGGTAAGACCCTGTATCAAAAAAAAACATGAAAGGTAAACATGTTGTATTGATTCAGGACATGAATTCATCCGTGGCAGCACAACCAAAAAGACTTAGGAAAGAGGACATCCAGAACTGCTTTAGAAAGTTCTGGAAACCGATTTGAAAGGATGAGATAAGTGTGTTCAAAGCAAGGGGGAGGGTTTTGACACATTCATGGCAATGTGTCTTTTACTATAATAATGTTTTTAATTTTAAAGATTCATTGAACATTCCATCACACAAAGTATACAAAGTTTTATTTTACTTGGGCAAATAGCCAAGAGCAGAATTTCTGGGTCTTACATGAAGTGTATATACAGTATGTTTATGTTGCCGGCCAACCAAGGGTTCTTTTGCTTGGAAGTGCAGCTCTGCTAGCAGTCCTGATGCCATCAGATAACACCAGGTGACTCTGGGTGCCAGCAGTTGGCACAGCCAGCTGCTGGTCAGTGCCATAGCCAGCCTTCACCACCTGATGCCGGCTTGCGCTAGACACTGTAGATCGACTCTGCTGGGTGTTGGTCTCTGCTGCTGGTCTTTATTGGCTGCTGGTCTCTGGAGCTCTTTGGTGCTAACAGTTCTGAGTGTTTATAGCTCTTTGGAAACGACTGTTGCATCCACACCACTCAGAATAAGAATCCCAAGTAGGTTTACAGGACCCTTGGGGCCCACCCTAAGATCAAGTCTTTTACCCATTTATTGAGTTCTTTGTTTTCTGACTGCCAAGCTTTCAAAGTTCTGCATGTCTTCTGTCTTCTGGATGTCCTTTGTCAGATACGTGATTTGCAGTTTTCTCATGGTCTGTGTTTGCTTTTTTTTTTTTTTTTAGCAGTATCTTTATTCCTTTGCAAAATTATTTCAGCTCTTCAGTTCCTGTCTATGTAAATTTTAGAAAATTCTGTTTATGTGCATAAAATTTTTTTCTGAGATTTTTTGGTAGGAATTGTATTAAATCTATCGATCATTTTGGAGATAAAATGATCAATAAAGTAATAAAATGATGTCATAAAGATAACACCTTTATGACATCAAGTCTTCCAATCCATGAACATAGTATGTCTCTTCATTTAAATCTTCTGTGATTTCTTTCATCTTTTGTAGGATACAGATTATATGTCTCTTTTGCTAGATGTATACCTAAGTAGTTTATTTGTGGGGCAAGTAACTGTACATAAGGTCCTAAGGTAGATGTATGTTTTAACTTTATGAGAGTCTGCCAAGCAGTTCTCCAGAGTGGTTATACCATCTTATACATCCATGAACAATGTATGAGTGTTCTAGATTCTCCACATCCTCATCCACATTTGGTGCTGTTGGTCTTTTTGAAATGAGAAGTGATTGGATATTTTGCATTTTGCATTCAATAATTTGCCTTTCTTGGATTGATGTTGTCAAGCACTTTTTCTTGTGTATTTTGACCATTCATATAGCTTCTTTGGTCCTAGTCTTTTACCTATTTAAAAAATGGAGGCATTAGTCTTATCATTGTTGGTTTGTAGATGTTCATTATGTATTCTGGAAACAACTCCTTTGTCAGATTTGTTTACTGAAGATAAATTTTCCCAGTCTATGACTTGCCTACTGAGTTTTTTTAATGGCTTCATTGAATTTCCTCTAAGTTTGTCTTTCAATGATTTCTACTATTTTTATGACCTTTCTTCTATATACTTTTTGTCTGTACTGAGGATTGAATCTAAGACCTTCACGTTAAATGATATCACCAGCCCTTTGAAATTTAAAAAAAAAAAAAAAATTGATAGAGTGTCTTGCTAAGTTCCCCAAGCTGAGGTTGAACTTGTGATTCTCCTGCCTCAGCCTCCCAAAATAATAAGAGTACAAGCATGTACTACCACCTCTGGCACTTTTACTTACTTTGATTTTAATTTGCTCTGCTTTATCTAGAGTCTGAAAAAGCTTAAATCACAAAGCTTTTGTTTTGTTTTGTTTTTCTACACTGAATTGTCCTTGGTTTTACACCTGTCTTCTTTTCTGATATAGGACTTCTAACTGAGTTCCCTCTATGCACAGTTCTACCTGCACCCCCCCCCCAAATTTTGATAGGCTATGTTTTCTTCATCATACAATTCAAAATATACCTTGCAAATTTTCTTCTCTAATCTATGGATTAATTAAAAGTGTATTGTTTAATCTCCCAATGTTTGAGATTTCTAAACATTGTGTTGTTTTTACCTTTAACACATGACTATTGTGGTCAGGGTCTGTCTTTTGTGCCAGTTTGTCTTGGTAACTACAGAATGTCTTCTTGAAAAAAGAAAGTGCATTCTGTAGTTGTTATGTAGTATTCTATAAATATTAATTAGGTCAAATTGGTTGATAGTGGTTTCTAAATCTTTATATCTTGTGTCATTTACTAAAAATTTTCAAGTACAATTGTGGTTTATCTGTTTATCCCTTTTGTTCTGAATTCTGCTTCAGGTGTTTTAGTGCTCTGTTACTAGGTATTTCAGATAGGTTACTATGTATTTCAGATTAGTTGGTCTTCTGGATGAAGCAATCTTTGTGTCATTATGAAATTTCCAAGCCAGGGATGGTGGTACAGGCCTATAATCCCAGAACTTGGGAGGCTGAGGCAGGAGGATCACCACAAGTTTGAGGCCAGCCTGGGCTACATAGTGAGTTCAAGCCCAGCCTGTATACTGCATAGCAAGACACTGTCTCAAAAAAAGAAAAGAAAAGAAAAGAAAAGAAAGAAAGAAAGAAAGAAAGAAAGAAAGAAAGAAAGAAAGAAAGAAGGAAAGAAGAAAGAAAGAAGGAAAGAAAGAAAGAAAGAAAGAAAGAAAGAAAGAAAGAAAGAAAGAAAGAAAGAAAATTTCCTACTTTCTTATCCTTTCCCTACTCTCTTACTCTAAAATCAGTGTATGTCTTTATATAAAGGGTATCCTATTTATAAATAGCATATAACTGGTATGGGGAGTTTTTTCCATCTCGTCTGAAAAGTTTACCTCTTAATCAAAGGAAACATACATTTATTTATGTATTTATGCATTTAGCAATCACTGCTGTAGTTGATAGTCTCCAACTGAGAAACGCTTCCTGCCCTTTTAAATTTTTGATGCCCGAGCTGCCTTTGAACTGGCAGTCTTCCTGCCTCAGCTTCCCCATGAGTAGCTGGGATTACAGGCACGTGCCACAGCGCCTGGCAGGAAACATCTAACCTGTAGCATCTATCCGTGTTGCTGTGTGCGCTTCTAGTCCACAGCGTGGTTCTCCTTGGTGTGTACCCTCTATATTTGGCCTGTGCATCCTGCTGTGATAAGTCCCTGGGTTCTCTCGAATTCCCCCACTAAAATGCCATTGTGGTGAGCCTTCTTGTACAGGTCTCCTGAATTGGGCAAGAATCCGTGGGGTGTTTGTCCAGGGTGGAGTTGCTGGCTTACAGGGTTTGCCTGGACTGGGTTTGACGAAGGATCGCCAGGGTTCATAGTGTGCCTGTGTGATCATGGGGATGATCCAGAGCAGAGGGGAAAAAGATGAGGAAAAAAGTGGGGAGAATTGCTGGAGCCCCACCTTTGAGTGGGTGAGCATGGCTGCCTCCGACAGGGACAGGGACAGCTCACCACAGAGACACTGGAGAGCAGAGGTCGGGGCCACATGCAGGAAGGGGTAGGTGCACAGGCAGGGGCTGGGGTCGTTTCCCTCTGCTTAGCGAGATAGGAAGCAACTGAACGGGACACCAAAAGAAAGGGGGAAAGGAAGCAGTTATCTTGGAGACTGTGTGTGTGTGCGTGTGTGCGTGTGTATGTGTGTGTGTGTGTGTGTGTGTGTATGGGGGGGTGTGTACTAGAGAGACAGAGCAGAATGCTTCTATGGCCTGGTGTGGAGCACCTCTGCCCAGGCTTTGAGCCTGGCTTTGCAGAGCATGTGGGTACCGGTGCAGGACTGCGCCAGAGAGCGCCCCCTGCAGGGGCGAGGCGGCAGACCCATGGGGTGTGCGGCTAGAGATGGACTCTGATCCGCAGGCCACAAGGTGAGACCGGATGATGGCAGTAAGGCAGGGAATGTGTGTCCCTTGTCGGTGGGAAGGTGACACGGTACGGACACTCGATACCTTTTGGTCCACAGTCTTATTTTGTAGTAAAAGCGATGCATTCCATGCCAAAGGAACTCTTCTCTTCAATGGCTTAGGGAGGTGTAAAAAAATCACAAAACGAAAAATAAAGAGTTGAAGCCCTCCCTCCCCCAGAGTAGCTGTAGCTCACATTTTGGTGGCCGTGGAGGTCTGTCTTCCTGGGGACACCGAGAGGACTGCAAGGAGGAGGTGGTCTAAGCGTGGGGTCTTGAAGGTTGAGGGATCCTCCTGCCCCTCACTCCGGGGGCGGGCACACTCAGCATGAGGTGAGTGGGGAGCGGAAGGCCCACAAGCAACTTCCTGACCATGCACATGGTCTCAGCCCCTTGTTCGTGCGCTGTACAGCCTGCATCGCTGTACCTGCCAGTCACACAGAGAGACTCCCCCTTCCATCCCATGCCCTGCACCTGCCCACACCACATGTCTGTCCCTCCTGGGTCTGTGTCCCCTTCCAGACAGCAGTGACAGTGAGCTGGAGCTGTCCACGGTGCGCCACCAGCCGGAAGGGCTGGACCAGCTGCAGACACAGACCAAGTTCACCAAGAAGGAGCTGCAGTCCCTCTACCGGGGCTTTAAGAACGTAAGTGCCCCCCCATACCCAGGAGAGGCTCTCTGTCCCTGACTCCACAGAAGAGAGACCCTGGCCCAGGGAGCCTTCTAGAAACTTCTCCAGAGCAGAGTGAATACCTGAGGAGGAGCTGTCCAGGAGGCAGGCACTGTGAGGGCCACCGTGCTCCTATCTCTGAGTTTCCAGGGTGGTGCCAGGGGAGCATCTTGGCATGGGGGTGGGGGCACAGCCACTGTCTTCCCAGCCACCCCTCTGCCCAGTGCCCCCAGGGCCTGGAGCAGGGGGTGGCTAAGTCACTGAAGGGGCGACTTGCCCTGCAGGAGTGTCCTACAGGCCTGGTGGATGAAGACACCTTCAAGCTCATCTACTCGCAGTTCTTCCCTCAGGGAGGTGAGTCCGGCCAAGACCAGGCCCAGACTTTCGGGCTGCCCCACAGGGAGGGGACCGTACTGCCATCCCTGCCTTCTGGAGACCTTTCCCTCTGCAGAGGAGACTCCTGCCCAGGACAGAGCAGGACCCTGGGGTGGGGTGGGAGCTTCCCAAGGAGGGGGCCAGACTTCCATGCAGCCCTCCCAGCCTCACCCAGCCTCACCCTTGTTGTCCCTAGATGCCACCACCTACGCACACTTCCTCTTCAACGCCTTCGACGCCGACGGGAACGGGGCCATCCGCTTCGAGGTGCGTCCCTGAGGGTCCCTGCACCTGCAGCGGGAGTTGGGTCCCGCTGTCTCAGGCTGTTCTTGGATTCTAGGAGTTCACATCCAGCCCCGCAAGCCCAGGGGGCTGCGGATTCACAGAGCTGGCAGTGGCCCCCGAGGCGGTTTGTATTTGTAAAGGAGTCATGGTGTAACTCAGAGGTCTGGCTTGCTAAGGGTGGGATTTTAAAGCCCTGGCTTCAGAATTTACTCCGGGTTACTGAGCGAATAGAACCAAGCAGAAATACCCAGGAAACACTTAGCCTGAGCGCACTCTGCTCTGCGTGGTCACCCCAGCCAGAGACAGGTGAAGTCCAGCGCTCCCGGGTTCCAGAGCGGGAGGAGCAGCCCCCCTCCCCGGCAGCCCTCCCCCTGCACGCCCCTCCTCCTGTCTGGGCGCCTCCCTCCCTGCCTGGCAGCACGGGATCGTTTGAGCAAAGCCCCATCTGTGGAGCCCAGGCCACTAAAAATAGCTGCAGGCACAAAGCTGAAACCTCCTCGGAGAGGAAAACCTTGCAGAGAGGCGATCGATCCATCACTGCCCCGCTCGGCTTCCAGGGCCAAGGGCGCCGACAGGAAAGCGGCAGAGGAGGCCCTGGACGCCGGGTAATAATAACCCCGTCGATAACACCACACGGGTTATTTTTACCCTGCGCACCCACCACACGCTGACACGCCGGACACACGGGGGCAGCCGGAGCCCCGGCCTCGCGGTGACCGCAGGGCCCCTCCCGCTCCGCGCGGCGCTCCGGGGGTGCCTGGGCGGCTGGCGGTGTGGACGGCTCCCTTCCCCTCGGCGCATCCAAGTCCCGGCGCCACCATACTCGGAAAACCGATCGGTGCAGAGGAGTAAAGGGGACAAGACACGGCCTCCCTCACCCCGCCTGGTGACCAGCTCTGCGGTGGCCTCTCAGGGGCAAAGTGGGGGATGGAATCCAGCCAGTTGGGCCCAGCTGCGTGTGGGGGACTGTTCCTCTGGTGGCATAGGGGTCCCTCAGGGACCTCCTGACTTCAGTGCTGGCGTCTGAGAGGCGTTTTTCAGGAAAGAAAGGTGTGCAGATCCCCACAGCCTATCCCTGCGACACCCAGTTGGGATCCCTCGGCCCTCACTGCCTGCCACAGGACCTTGCCCTGCCCTTAAAACAGGAGCTCAAGGCCGCTTAACGGTGTCTGGGGCAACCCAGCACTTTTTGTCTAGGTTTAGAAGCTATACATGTGTCTGTTACAGTTTACCTGGTACAATAAAGTAGTATCACTTTCTTCCCCTCACCAGAATGAGAACCAAAAAGGAGGGAAGGAGGGAGGAAGGAAAGAGAAAAGAAAAGAGTAAAAAGGAGCTGAGTGGGAGATGCGGTCTCATGTCCCACCTCAAGCCCGGCCTCAACCGCTCCTCGAGTACCCCTGGGATCTGCTGCAGGAGGGAGCCTGGTGGCGGCCTCCTCTCTGAGTCACCCAGTGCCTTCCTAATTCAGCTAGTTCACCTTGCCAGAGACCACAAAACTTGCCAAACAGTGACCTGCTGGTGGCTTCTTAGAACCCAAGAGAAAGTCAGGTTGCCCAAGCTGGAGTGTCACTGGCAGAGCTGATGGACTGTAAACCGATGGCCAGTGTGAGTCTGAAGGGCCCGGCTCTGTGACTGCCCCACGGTACCCTGCTCGGCATCCCTGGCCACCGTGTGGGTGACATCACCCGGGGCAGGCTGCAGCCCTGGAACCTCCCAGGGCTCCCACCAGCTCACTCCGTACCTGCTCCAGGCTCTGCCGGGGACCCTCATGTGCACGCTGAGTGTTCAGCCTGGAACCCCAAGGGGGTGTGTGCCCCACACTCTCCCCAGGCACTGTCTTGAGGGCAGCCGCAGAGCAGAGGCTGTGGATAAAACAGGCGCCCTGTATGTCAGAGCCCAGGCTTGGGGTTACAACTGTAGTGGCCGCACGTGAAACTGTGCCATGTCCCAGGAAGCTTAGAACCAGTGTCCACTTGGTCTGAGTCAGCTGCTCCTGCAGTAACATCTATGTTACCACTAGGGACCTTGCAGGGGAGACTCCCACATCTGTGTATTACGGCTAGGGACCTTGCAGGGGAGACTCCCACATCTGTGTGTTACGGCTAGGGACCTTGCAGGGGAGACTCCCACATCTGTGTGTTACAGCTAGGGACCTTGCAGGGGAGACTCCCATGCAGTCTGCTAGCGCTGTCCTTTCCATAACACACACACTTGCGGAGGGACCCTGGCTGGGGACCTGCGTGCTGATGTGAGGGCTTCTGTGAAGACAAGACTGCAGAAGCATAGCTCTGGTGCCTCCTGGCCCATGAGAAGGGTGGGTGCCAAGCAGGACCCCGCACCTGGACCTGCACTGGCAAATCCTGCGAGACCCGAGGTTCCCTGCTTATGTAACAGTCCATGGTGCTGATCATTCCCCAAACTCGGGTGTTCAAGAGGTGTCACAGTCTTTCTCCTTTGCTATGTTCTCATGTCTTCCCTCACACACACACACACAGGACTTGAGTCCAGTAGATTTGTAGGGTGTGCTTTGGAAAACCACTGTCTCTCGTCTACCAGCTGTGGTCATCTGCCTCCATGACTCCCAGGGCTATGATTTTATGGCTCTTCTCAAGTGTCCAGTTTAGACAGTGCGTCTTGACCCTCTGCTTTGGGTGAGGAGAAGCTTGGCCTTCCCTAAACACACACTTTTCTTCCCCCACTTTCCAACAGCCAATTGCATAAGGACTTGGTTTACCCTGATGATGTGAATCCGATACCAGCAGAGCCTTGCAGTCAGCTGGAACGATGCTTTCCCCTCCTGCACACCTTGGTATTTTGCTACTCTCAACAACAGTCATAATCCTTCCTTTGCCTGTTCGTCTGTGACCTCATCACTTACTCAGCCCTGGACTGGGAGGTCCATTTCCAGTCTAAATTTACCTGGCATCTCAAGGAGGATGTGGTCCTGGCCTTCCACAGCTCCATGGGGCTGGGCACCCTCTGGCTCTTCCTTTCTCCCCTGGGTTGCACCCCTCACTTCAGGCTCCTTATCTCCCTCTTTCTGGATTTACTCTCTCTTTTCAGGGGTACATCCTCCAGCAGTCTCCTCCAAGAGTATACAGGGCATGTATCCATCAGCTTTCTGTTGCTGGGCGAAAATACCTGACATACCCAACTTAAAGGAGAAATGGTTTATTGAGGCTCATGGTTTCAGAGGGTTCCCTCCATGGCTCCAAAGCAGAAACATGATGGCAGATGGGCGTGGTGGAGGAAAGCTGCTCTCATCATGGCAGCCAGGAAGCCAGGAGAGGGGAAAAGCTTGAGAAGAGATGCATATACCCAGGGCTGGGGATTTAGCTCAGCAGCACAGCACCTGCCTGGCAAGCACAAGGTCATGAGTTCAATTCCCAGTACTGGAAAAAAAAAAACAAAAAAAAGAGATGCATATACCCTTCAAAAGCATGCCCTCGGTTACCTACTTCCTCCAACGAGGCTGCCCCTCCTAACAGCACAGTCAACTATGAATTCATCAGTGGGTTAATCCTGATGAGTATGGTACCCCCACAATCCAGTCTTTTGAAAACTCCACTTCTGAATCCATGAGCCCTTTGGAGGACATTTTTTTTTTTTTATCCAAACCATAAAGGAGATGACCTGTGAGTGTCTGCAAGTGTCTCTACTTAGTTCTCACTCTTGCTAGGCATTTTGCATGAACCAGAGCTTCTGTTCCCCCAGGCCTGGTGCTTCCCCTGCCTGTCTCCTGCAGGTTTCCTGCCTCTAGAGTGCTGTCAGAAAGCCACCGCCAAGTGATTCAGATCCTGTTTGTAGACCTGAGTGTGGTTCTTTTTGTTTGGCTTTGCTTTTCTCTCTGAAGCTTATAGGATCTTCTCTTGGTGGGCAGTAGTGAAATCCTACCATGATCTATGCCTAAGGCCCAACTGCTTGTGATTTCAGGCCTTGTCCCAGCTCCAGGGACCCTGGGAACTGGAAACCTTCCACTCTGGGAAATCTTTCACGATTTCCTTGACACACTCTTCTCCATTTTCTCTGATTCTTCCTGGATCTCCTGATGTCCTAGTCTTGTCTCTCAGGTTGGCTCTAACCTTGTCCTCTTCTGGTTTCCAGCACTGTTTTTTTGCCTCGGTGCACCTTCTGGAAAGTTCTGCTTGCTCTTCCAGCCCTTCTAAGTGTGTCATCTTTGCCCTCTTGTTTTTGATTCCTAAGAGCTTGCTCTTGTTTTCCAGTCACTGTGCATGTGTGTGTGTGTGTGTGTGTGTGTGTGCGCGCATGCGTGTGGGCGATTGTGTGTGCCTGGTGTTGAACCCAGGGCCTTTGCACTGAGCTATACCACAGCTCTTTATATATTTATTTGTTTGTTTAATTAATTTTTTAGGGTTTCACTAAGTCACTAATTTGCCCAGGCTTGGCTGCCTTTGTCTCCCAGAATGCTGAGATTACGGGCATGTGCTACCACACCCAGCTTCATTCCTCTTTTATGATAGTATCCTATTGTTTTAAGGATGCAAGATTTCTAATCTCTGAAGTTTTTTTATTAAGATATCCTTCTCCTGGAATAATTCTTGTTTCTCCCTAATTGCTGGTCTCTGTTTCCCTTCTCTCTCATGGGTTGGAACCCTGAAACCGTCCTGTCTTGTCACATTAGTGACACATGACTGTCACACTGCACAGTGATAGCGGCACACAGGGCTGGCCCGGGAGTCGGGCACCATTAGGTTAGTTTGTTAAACTGAAGGTTCTCAAGCGCCTTTGACGCGCAGATGCTTGCTGAACTACAAGTGGAGCCCCTCCTTTATCATAAGAGCATTCAGGTCTTAACTGTTGACACCAGGGCACTGCACAATGGGTTATTTTTATCCAAGACCAGTACTGTGCAGTTCCCCACCACACACACAGATATGCGGGTACACACACATGCATGCACACACTCATGCATACCCCCCCCATGCACCTGCCGCCCCATTGTGGAGCCACGCTGCCTGCAGAGCTGGGAACTGCAGGGAAAGCCACACAGCGAAGTGGAAGCAGAAGTAGGGTGCTGGCTCCTCATCCTCGACGCCTCTCCCCTGCAGGACTTTGTGGTCGGGCTCTCCATCCTGCTGCGAGGGACGGTCCACGAGAAGCTCAAATGGGCTTTCAATCTCTACGACATTAACAAGGATGGCTACATCACCAAAGAGGTACCGGGATGGTGGGCAGTAGCCCACCTGCCCCTGCACCCCTCCTGCTGCTCCCCTGCTGAGCTCTTCCTGTCTCTCTTCTGTCCCTGTCCTGGTGGCTGTAGCCTAGCCTTGGGGTGCAGCAGCAAGCAGGCTCCTCGGTGCTGGCCATCATGCACCTCCATCCACCCCAGCCGTGGCGAGGCCCTGGGGGAGCCAGATGGAGAAAGGGGTGGCCTTGAGTGGGACAGTGCAATCCCTTAAGGCAGGGGTGCAGCTAGGCCCTCAGCACATGGACCCACAGATGGATTTTTATTTGGCCCAAATTATTTTTCTTTCTCTTCTTGGTATCTGAAGTAGTTGCTACCTGCTCAAGTTTTGGAGATGGGCATGTTGCTCCGTCTCTCCAACTTGTCTTGGGGCACAGGGGACAAGCTCGTCTCTCTGTGGTGCACAGGGTCCCTCTTTCTTGCCCTGGGGGTGGCCCCGACCTTTCAGGCAGCTTCCTCCACTGGGGCCCAGAAACCACCACCGCTGAGTCTCAGCAGCCAGCTCACACTGACTCTCCTGTTTCCCCACCCCAGGAGATGCTGGCCATTATGAAGTCCATCTACGACATGATGGGCCACCACACCTACCCCATCTTGCGGGAGGATGCACCCCTGGAGCATGTGGAGAGGTTCTTCCAGGTGCACAAGCCCCGCCCCAAAGCTGGGTCACCAGGCAGAGGAAGGGCCTCTTGCTCCTGGGGTAAACCTGCTTCCAATAAGGAGGTTCAGCCAGGTTTCTGGCCAAATCCCCTGGGGCAGGAATTTAAAGCCAGGCTTCACCCCTGAATTTCATCCACCCTGGGGTTCCAGGGATTGAGGCAGCTGGCCTGGCTTGTGCCTTCAGGGGGCCATTTCCAACTCCCCAGGAAAACAAACTACAAAATGAGTGGCGTTGGGGTCCCCTTGCTGTGTGTCCCTGGGCCTGGGGGTGCTGAAGGTTCAGCTCTTCTTCCTGGGGACCTCTAGACCTAAAGCCATCTTGTGCCCTGGTGGCTCTGGTCAGGGAAGTGAGAGGTCACAGGAGCATGGACACCAGCCCTGGGAAGGTCGTCAGGGAGCAGGGGTGTGTGCAGGAGGCCAGCGTAGGTGGGAGATGGCTGGGGAGGCAGCTATACATATCCAGGGTGGGGACAGAGGGACACATTCGGGTAGAGGGAGCCCATCCATTGAGTGTCCTCACACTGGTGTCAGGAATTGCCTTAGTCACTTTCTTGCTGAGATGACTTACCTGGCACCCACAAGGTAAAGAAGGAAAGGTTTATTTCGGCTCACAGTTTGGAAGGGTTAAATCCACAGTCAGCTGGCTCCAGGCAGGTGGCGTGGAGGAGAGCTACTCAGGGCATGGTGGACAGGAAGCAGCAAGCCAAGGGAGGAGCCTGGGAGGGGGATGAGCCCTTCCAGGACACACCCCCATGGCCCCACCTCCTGACAGCAAGTCAGCTCTGAGCCCCATAATTCCCTCACCATCCACAGCCCTGCCCATGCGTACCTGAGGCTCTTGGGGGACATCTAGATAGAACCCATAACAGGGACACTTTAACCTTGCGGGGACACACTCACCTTGGGTTTGGCTTGGCTCACAGAAAATGGACCGGAACCAGGACGGGGTGGTGACCATTGAGGAATTCTTGGAGACCTGTCAGAAGGTAGGTGGCTCCAGAGGGCTGGACGTGGGCCCTCCTGGAGCTGTGGGACCAGATGGTGGCCCGTGGAGAGGCAGACAGGGATGCACAGGAGGTGAGCAGCCTCAGACTGGGTACTCCCTGGTTCTGCCTCTCAGCACCCCACCCGCCCATGGAGACACAGTCCCTGACAGGAACCTGCGGGGTGGGGGGCTTGGGAAACACCCCCACCGCCATCCTCTGCACACCCGGCACCTGGCCAGCCCTCTCCTCTCTCCACGCAGGATGAGAACATCATGAACTCCATGCAGCTGTTTGAGAACGTCATCTAAGATGTGCAGAGGGGCTTCAGGTGGCCACCGCCACTCCACCCCTGAGAAACCAGAACTTTTTTCTAATATATTTGAAAAAAGTGAGCCGTTCACTCCTGATACACACACACACACACACACACACACACACACACACACACACACACAGCTCCTCTGGGACAGCAGAAGGAGGTAGAGGTCAGGAGGGGTGCAGCCCCCAACAGCTGTCCCCACACCAGTGGGGCAGGAAAGCTGCCTACAGGATGGGCAGCCCACCTGCCAATCACTAGATGTCACCAGGAAGGGGCTCAAGAGCCTAAAAGAGCGTCTCCAAAGCATGGGGCCCTCCCCCTCCTTTCCCACCCATTGGGGGCCCCAGGGTTCCTCTGGCCTCCTCCCCTGGCCACTCCCTGCCCAAGGACCTGTGTCCCCAGAGAGACCCTCACTCCAGGGCTCTGGGGCAGCCAGGAGTTGAGGGGTTCAGACTAGGACAGAGGTGGTCACAGGCCTGAGCCTGCTGCTTCCTGGGAATCCTGTCCCCAAGGTTGGGATACTGACCCCGGCAAGCTGGACCAGTGCCAGGCCACCCACTGTGAGGCCAGTTTGGGTGGTGGGGGCCCCTGGGTGCCAACCTTCCTCCATCCCGGGGGAAGGGCTCCCAAGGTGGAGATAGGGTTTCTAGGAGAAGGATCTAAGGGGACTGTTTGCCATCCCCCTAGGGGGGAAGCCTTTGCCCACCCCAGGTCTGGCTCGGTGGGAATGGAAGAGGGGTGCTGCAGCCCCCAGCACCAGGCTGTTCTCCCCAGGGTCCGCTCAGTCCTGGGAGGGAGTGACATGGCTCAGGGACCAGCAACCGTGGAGCCTGGGAGGGCTGGGCAGGGCTTCTGGTCTCTTCCCCACACCTCATCTCCCTGGAGCTCCGTGGGGCCCTCCCACAGGATCACCCCAACCTCTACAAAAGCACAAGCACCCTGCACTGGAGGGGAGCCAGGGTCACTCTCAAGGCCTTCCCGGGGGGAGCTGAAGGAAGCCTGGGTCCCAGAAGCCCCAACGTGGGTGGCCCCGGAGGAAGAAGTTCAGGAGTCTGTTTGGTGCCCCAGAGCCATGGAATCTTGAAGACCATTCCCAGCCCCACTTACCAACGTTCAGAAGCACAAACCTGGGGGCCCTGCTTGGTGGCCCTGCCTGGAGTATGGAGGCTCGTGGGGGGCAACAGTGAGGAACATTCCCACACGATACATTCCATCGGGCCGCCCATGTCTGCTCAGCCAGTCCTGGTGTCCCTGGACGCTCCTGGGACACCAGCCCCAGGTGAGCAGGGCCCTCGGAGGAAAGGCAGGATGGCCAAGGACGTGCTCGGCCCCCACACACAGGTGGGCCCCTCCGTGGAGTTGCACTGATGCCCATTTCCAGTCTACTGGGGCCCCCCTCCCCTCCTCCAGGGGAGTGCGTGTCAACTTCCCCTGGCTCAGGGATCTCCTCCTGCCCCAGCCTGGCCCTCCCAGATGGCATCCTGTGCTTCTCAGGGGCCAGGGCCGCAGGAGACAGTCGCCACCGTGCTCCTGTCCCCCTTGTCTCCCACACTGGGCCACGACGGGCCGCATGGCTGCATGGCAGAAGCGCCTCTTGGGCGCAGCCTGGGAAGGCGGTCCCTGTTCTCAGCTCCCACCAATATTCAGTACTATATATTTTAATAAAATAAACTTGATAAAGGAAGGGGACTCTCACTGGCTTTATCTCAACTGTGAACTTCCTGCTAGCCCCTCCCACCCCAGCTGCTATTAGCTGTGGCTCTTGCCCAAGACTGCTGGTGCGTGTGTGCGTGTGTGTGTGTGCATGTGTGCGTGTGTGCGTGCGTGTGTGTGTGCATGTGTGCGTGTGTGCGTGTGTGCGTGTGTGTGTGTGTGTGTGTGGAGACAGGATCTCCCTTTGTAGTCCAAGTATGGAAAAAGCATTAAACACATTCAACCCCCACTGACGATCACAATTAGTGCCGGTAAGGAACATCCTTAAGACAACAAGGGTCTTCAAAGCAGACACTACGCACAGCCATAAGGTGTTAGAAGCTTCCCCTTTAATTCAAGTCAGGCACTGCGCAGCGGACGTCATGCCTGCCTCGACCAAGATCAGTGAGTGGCAGGATGGGAACAACTCTGGTTGCCCCCAAAGCCTATGCCCTTTCTGTGCCAGGCAGGGTGGGAGTGGGGGTTCAGAGCCATGGACAGGGTGTGGCAAAATTGGCTACAATAAGACACTGACGATCTTGTGTCTCATGACATTGTGAGTAGCGTGTGGAGGAGGGAGGCCCTGAATCGGCCGTGGGAGCAGTGAGTGGAAGACACTGGCTGAGAACTCAGCATGCAGGGCAGCCGTTGCTCCCCACAGGCCCCCGGACAGAGCCATCAAGGGAGGGCCCTTGAAGCTGGTCTGCTGGAACTCAAACCTCAGCTCTCCATGCACCAGCCGTATGGCCCAGGCCAGGATGCGTAGTCTGTCTGTGTCTCAGTTTCCTCCTTGGTGAAGCAGGTACACTTGAGAGCCTGCATTACAGAACCAGGTCTAAATGAGTGCGAGACGTTCAGGTACCAAACGCAGCTCCAAAATCAGCTCCAAATCCAACAGTGGGGTCAGCCACCTTGTGTCCTGGTGTAGGGCTGTGAGTCATTCTCTGCTCCCTGCCTCTCCCTCTCTGGCCTGTGCAGTGCCTTCCTGTTCCCACTGCCCCTACAGCACCTATTGGCTGAAGACACCTTCCCTGATGCCTGCTGGGTGTGGCTTTCCCCTGCCTCTAGATTGGCTGCCCTTAAGACAGGTGTCAGGGCTGGTCCAATCAGCTCTGGGTGCCGGGATGCTGCTGCTTCCTATCCTTACCTAACAGAAGTCTGGACTACAAGGATCGAGGCGCTGCCCAGGGTGGTGGGCACTGGGAGAAGACGGGAAGCCCTCCTCCCCTTCACCCCACCACAAAGGTATTGAAGAGCTGTGTCCCCAGCACCCACCTCCAGCATGTAGCCCCATGCCTCTAAGGCCTTGCTGTGTCTAGGGCAGAGGGGTCATCCTTCCATTCTAGAAATTTCCGTGGCTTCTTCAGCATACCTATCTACTTTGCTTAGCCTCAGTTTCCTTATCTGTAAAATAAAAAATTCCACCACTGGAATTATTATAATTCAATATGCACATTTACTAGCCTTTCAACAGATAAATATGAGGATCCTTCCTTTCTAGTCACAAAGTTTTCATGTATCAGGGTGACTTATACCAATGAACCATCAGAGAAGGTGCAGGCATTTCAGGAGTTTCCCAGATCTTGGAAATAAATCTATGGTGGTCTTCAGTTTCCCTGGTAATTCCAAGGGCCATCTGGGCTCCAAAGAGTTAAGGAGGGTCAGTCTATGCCAGTCAGGCCACAGTAGGTGACTCTCCATCCATATGTCCACCACTAGTTATATGGCCAAGCTGACCTGCCACAGACAGGAAAGGTCCCTCAGAGAAAGCACTGAGCATCCTGTATGCCTGAACTGTGTCCTTCACCCTCACAGTGGCGCTACTGAGTCCTTCTTGATAGCACAGAATGGGAGAAGAGGTCCAGAGACCTTGGCCAATGGGCCCGCACCCTTCCCATGGTGCTCTGCGGCACAGCTTCCCAGAAAGTTCATGCCTAGTCTGCCCTGAGAGGATCCTGGTTTCAAGTGTTGTGTCCCTACTGACCACCAGGGGGCGACTGCCCCACCCCGGGTTTCCTCATCTCTTTCTACCCTTGTGCCCAAAGGAAAAGGCATGGAGGGATGTTTGCCCTTTCCTTAACAGTCTTAAGGACATTTCATAGCTCTGCCTCATTCTCCACATGCCCCTTCCCCCCCCCAAAAAAATTAAATGGTTCAGGTAAAAGGTGCCAGGTGCTCCCAGAGCACACCAAGCTGGATGCTGGGTGCTGAGTGCTGGGTGCGGGGTGCAGGGACATAATAGCTGTCATCCTGTCTTGTGAATGCCTCAGATACCTAACTGGGACTCACGTGATGCTTCCTGTACATAACCCACTAGGCCTCTTCGAATCCTGGAAAGCTTGCGACCCCCACTTTCACTCTGCTCAGCCTTGTCAAGTCCAAGCAGCTGGAAGGAGACAGTGGCCGGTCAGGGACTCAGGGAAACAGGCACCTGGACAAGGCGTGAGGGTGTGGGTCTCGGGGCTGAACTTGCAGGCGGCTACATCTCCCTCGAGATGTGGTCTGGAGCCCTGGGAACATCAGCACCACCCTTCAAGTGCACGGAGGCCTCAGAACCCTGTAGGTCACAGAGCTGTGTTCCCTTCGTGATCATCTGCCTGGGCGGGCACCTGCCTCCTTCATGTCAGCCAGTGTGCAGCCCTGGGCCCCTTCTCTGCCCCTTTCCAAGTTCCAGTCCCTAGGTCTAAACTAAGGGAGGTGCCATTCCACATTGATCAGGCTCTATCTCCATACTAGCCCCGGGCCGCAGCCTGAGACCATGGTCCCTGCTGTCAGGAAATTCACATCTTGCAGGGGCATTGGAGGGCAAAGAGGGTCCAAGGCAAGGGCTCAGGGCACAGGTCAGGAGACTGAGCTTGCCTGACACCTACTGCTGGGGACCTCCTTGGCTCAGGTCCTGGCATCCTGGGGGGGTCCTGTTCCTAAGATAGGAGATTGGGCGTGGCAAAGCTGGCTGGGGAAGTAGAGGTGACCTGTTAATTACAAGCTCCCGGGCACATGGGCAGAACAGTTCCCAAAGCCCTGCATGTGGACTTCTCGTGAGAACTCAAGCAGGTTTTCAATAGGACAGCCTGGACCTGACCTCAGCCTGAGGCGTGGGATCCCAGCCCCGCCGCTCAGGACCTGTAGGCAAAAGTTTTCCCTTGGGTTTCCGCATATAAGGACGCAGGCACCACAATAGCCTGCTATCCTGACTCTCTCCCTACAGCTTGCTCTGCTTTCTCCAGGGTGCTCTTTTATTGTTTTTTCTCCTTTTACTCAGCCCTGTGGAGACAGTTTCTCTCACTCCTCACTTTCACTTTCTTGAATGAACTTGGCCACTACTTTTTGCTCGTTTTATTCAATACTTTGTCTGAGTTGAGAGAAGAGCCTGGAATCTAACTCCAGGGGGAGAGGCGAGCAGCCGGAACCCGGTAGAGTTTAGTTGGTGAGCCACTGTCAGAAGGAGCTACCGAATAACATTTCTGTCGTTGTCCCCATCAGATTCCTCCACCTGGCCCACAGCAGGTGCTGGGTCCTCCACCTGGCCCTCACCCACTCTGCTGGGCTTTACCTTCCAGGTGAGGGGAGGCCCAGAGGCCAGCCACGCACTGGCAGGGAATCACCGGGGATGTGTGGCCCACTTCAGTCACCAGGACTTTGTCCCAATCAGCTGGCTGTGGAGGGCAAATTCAAGGCAGGGGACAGGGCCTCTGGCCTGGATCCAGGACCAACGTGGTCAGGAGCAACCCTGTGCCTACAGAGGGCCAGGCACAGCCCGCCACCTCACACACCATCTTGTCACTGGGCTGGGTCTCAGCAGGTCCCCAAAGCTGAAATAAATGTGTTGGTTTGGAGTTTTTGCAAGGAGAACAATATAATACAGGACACATATTTTATATGATTATTTATAATAGTCACCCAAAGAATGATATACAAGAGAGTGCAGGAAATCTGCCCACACACTAAAGACCAAAGAATCCAGCTGAGGACCTGGATCCCACAATAATGTCCTGCATGAGTCCAGCTGAAGACCTAGAGCCCATGACAATGCCTCCCCATGAATCCAACTGAGGCCTAGAGCCCATGACAGAGTCTCATTTAGGCCTGTTTCATGGATCTGCACTGGGAAGGCCCAAAGGTCAGTGGTGGAATCTAGAAAGTCTGCACCAGCGGGATGAAGGATCTGTGATAGCAGGCTGAGGGATCTGCACAGGAGCCAGGAAGCGATGCTCAAAGTAAGAACCAGAGCTCCCCCGAAAGGTACCACAGCCATTCTCAGCAACAGTGAGGTCCCACGCTCCTCTGATAATGGGGAAAGCCGAGTTCCATCAGGAAAGCCAATGCAACAAGCTTCTCCAGGAGACTGAGCAGTGCATCATCTTCCCCTCCAGAGCCAGGAAGTGATGTTTGAACTGAGGACCAGAGCTCCCCCAAAGTGAACCGAGGCCATTCTCGGCAACAACAAGGTCCCGGGCTCCTTGGAGGATGAAAACAGCCAAGTTCATCAGGAAAGCCAGCATGACAAGCTCTCCAGGAAAACCAACGGATCCTTACAGCTTCCCTCAGCTTCCAACAGGCCCCCAACAGCTTCTACCAGCTCTCCTTCTCCCTTCTTCTCCTGTTCTGCCTCTTATGCTGCTGGCAGCAATCCTCCGGTGGGCCTCCCACACCCAGCACCATGCTTACTCAGTTCAGGTGGGTGTTACAAGTTGACCACCAGCTGTAATCCACCACAATAAGGAACCTAACCCACCCTTGTAGAGTAAGCTCATAGGTTCACTGGCTCGGGTCGAGCTCAGCCTTAGAACTGGCCTCCCTGCCCACCCCTGGGCACCTTTTAGGGAGGGATGAGCATATGACCCAATAACAACCAGTGAGGCCCAAGGAGTCCTGTGCTGGGAATTCTGGGACAAGAAGTTCCCTCTGAAGCTGAGCGTGTGTGAGCGCTGGAGCTGTTGGTGCCATTCTGTCACTTAGAGGAGTCATAAGAATGAAACCAGAGCAGAGAACATTCT